AAGACAACATACAACATCGGGTTCTCAGTCATTCAACTCATAATCAATAAAACAGTAATATGTGCACACGAAACTATGAAATGAAAACATAAGACATCATACTGCATTTAAAACCGTAAAATAGGCCAAACAACAGCTAACAGACAAACACACCAGACTCGGGCTCCATTAACGACTTTAAACAATTTCTCACATCTATTGATTCATGAAATACCGTTTTATCATTTATTAAACTTTAATACCGTGATAGGAAATAGGGTGAGGGGTCCTTACACGTTTCGGGGTCCGAACACGGCTTCACAGTGCGCCTACAAGCTGTCCCTAATTTTTTCTGAATTTTTTCCGGGGAACTGAAACGCACTACTGGTACCTGCACGTGTTCCAAAAAATCTCAAATTAGACCCAGGGCCCCTTCCAGCCAATATCGCAATTCCGGCACGGCGGCTCCGCCGTGCTCCGGCGACGGCGCCACCGCTTGCGGCGGCGATTCGCCTCGGGTTGGCCGTTTTCGACTGTTTCCGGCCGAATTCGGCCACACTTACATCGGTCCCTGTGATAAAATAACCCTAGGGCCCTCGGGGGGCCAAAAAAATTACGAAAAATCGAAGCTTACCGGTGGCGGTGCTCTCGGGTGCGGCAGCTTTCTAACGAGGTTCGTGTTTTGGTGATTTGGCTCCGATCAACCTGTAGGAAAAAGAATGGTAATCACGGTGATATAAAAATTGTATCAAACGGAGGCCAGGAAGGGCCTCATCGGAGGCAAAAACCGATGAGGGGCGCGGCGGCGCCGCTGAGTTTCGACCGTGTTTTCCAGCCATTTGGCAGGGAGTTTGGCTCCGATTTGGCCACAGGGGAACTAAGCATTGAAAAATGAGTCGGGGGTATGAAATTTACCTCGATCGGCGGTCGGAAAACTCCCCGGTGCGGCGGCGGGTGGCGGCGGCCGGCTCCTCCGGCGTCTGGTTCGTCTTCTCCGGCGAGGGCAGGCGGCTAGGGTTTTTGTGGTCAAGTGTGGGAGTTTTATTTATACCTTTTTGCCTTTTAATCACAGCCGTCCATCTTGATTAAATCTGGGCCGTTCATACTTGATTGAATCTGGGCCGTCTGTGCGCGTGCATCTAGGCCGTCCGTGCGCGTGCATCTGGACCGTCCGTGCGCACACTTGATCTGGGCCGTCCGTGTGCGCGGGGACGCATCTGGCCCGTCCGATTGCGCGCACGCGGATCGCTCACGTGGCCCGTTCCCGGGTCGACGTGGTCTTGCCACGCGGCAGGTCCTGGTTGGCCAGGGCTGCTG